TGACAACTTCATCTCCATCATTTACTTTTTCCTCTCCTTCTCTTCATCCCTCTCTCCTTCTGTTGGAGGAGTGCTACATGACAACCGCATATCCACTAAATTCAAACTCCTAATATTCAACCTTTTGCTCAGTTTTTCTCTGTTTCTTGCTTTCTCTCCATCTAACCTTTCCTCCTATCTCTCCTCTATGAGATATATTTTTGTAATTGTTGTGTGAACTACCACTGGAGCTTGAAAGCAAATATTTCATATGTTCGGATGTAACTTTTAGTGAAAACTCTTTAGTGAAACATAATATAAGATAAGATAATCCTTTATTAGTCCCTCTGCGGGGACATTTACAGGATCACAGCATCAAAGGGGGTAAAGTACACACAGACATAGTTAAAAAAAAGATCAAAACAATTAGAAATAGCAATACTAAAATAAAAAAGAAATGAAATGAAATATTATATGCAGAAATATTGAGAAAACTTGTATTAGAATGATATACATTTGCTCTGTAATACAATATGCTTAATGATAGAATGTTTTGTATGCATATACATTTTACATATCACACTTCTTATACTGATTTTATACAGCACTCTTTTTTTAGACTAGATCTTTAATTTGTATTACCACGTTAATGCATGTGTGTGCCTGTGTGACTCAAATGAGGAGGACCAAGAGGGATTCGCTGACCCATCTGTATACATTTTCAAGAAAACAGAACCCATCCTCCCTTCAGAAGCCTCAGCTAGGATGGGAGCGCACCTTTAAGTGTCTTTAGGCCTGGCTTTGACACATGGAGCTCGTATGGGGCACAGCCTGCAAGCTCTGCATGCAGCCACCACTCTGTGGGCGCAACACTCACAGAGAAAGGCACCGGGCTCTGGTAAAGCCACAGCAGAAGTCACCTCTTCAGAAACCAAAGATGGTAAGGGAGGTGTAGTGGCATCAACTACATATAGCTGGGCTCACTTGTAATAAGGGTTAACGGGGAACATCTGGCTGAGACCCCAGTCTTATATTGCCATCTCCAGAAGGGAGACGGATTGACTAAGTTTGACTAAGATTACATATTTATTTGAAGATTGACTGAAGTATTCACTATTTTCAATGGGTATTAATGTTCAATGTATTCAGAAAGCTCCCAAAGGCTGTGACTGGGGTGTATAGCTGGGTGCGAATGTGTAGTCCTGATGGGCAGGTGGCACGTTGCAGCCGGTGCCAATAGTGTAGGTGTGGGTGTGAATGAGTGAAAGACATGTTGTGTAAAAATGCTTTCAATGACTAGATAGGCAATATACAAATACAGATATATTTGCCAACGTAATGTAATCAAAAAGGGCATTTGAAACAGAGCTACAGGTAGAAATATTGTTTTTAAAATGAAGAGAAAATATTTAGATTGAAAAGTGATGAATGAATGATCTTTGGGCGACAGGACACAACTAATACAACTAAGAAATGCAAAAAGTAAAAAATACGCAAGAGTAAGACAACCGCTAAAATTGCTTCCCATCTGGACGTTGGTCCTGTGCGGGCACTGCAGGAACAACTGAAGTGAGCACTGTGTTTGCACACTCAGCTAAAAGTCAAACATGATTCCAGTCCCTGTTGGTGTCCGTAGGAATCATTTGACCTTCATAGACAGGAGTTTTAGGCGGTTTAGGAATGTCCACAGCTATACGAAAACAAAGGAAATCTTGTGTAAATAAATCTATTAACAATATATGGTAATAAATACATTTATGACAACTCTGGATGCATCAAATATGGAAGGTCGTTAGAAAGGAGCAATCCAATATATTGGTGAAGTTTGATTATAAATAACTGTTTTCTTTACAGCAAACTCAGTCCAAATTCATCCCAATCTCACATGTATCATTTTCTGATAATTATTAAAAACCGCTAAAATTGTATTACTGTCTCTTAAGATTATTGAAAACATATTTATGACTCAGTTCTTAGGCCACAACATTTAGATGACACACACACGTGTTACCAAAAGATACATTTATAAAAAAAATTAAACTAAATTAAAAGGTTTGCAAAATGTTTTGTGGAGTTTGGGAATTAGTGATGTCAATGATGAAAATGTGTCTATGAGTATTGGAAAATTGCAAGACAAAATATAAATTCATACTAGGCGCACAACGAAACGAAACAACAAGTGGGTGAAAGCAGAATGCGGGAGCTGCAAAGGCAGCAGAGCAGACCGACAGAGGCTCCGTCAACGCTGATACGTGTTCCTTTGACCACAGGGGTTTAGAACACAGAAATGATTTCTGTCCACGTCGGAATCCCAGCAGCCTTTGGGAAATGATAAACACGCCTGAAAACAAATATGCGTTGTCAATGTAAAGAGGATGTAGGTTGGTTGCTAGGTTACCTTTATCTTTAACAATAAAAGGTCAGGATTGCTCGTTAACATCCTATTCTATAATCCTCCACATGCAAATTTTGTGGAACGCCTTTTCATTTTCAAACTTGGTTATAACGCTGCAGGCCTTACTTTCTCTCCCACGTACACATCAACATAAAAATAACACAAATCAAAAATGAAATTATTGGTCAATTAATTTGATCAACACACCCATTCGCTTTCAGTTTGGTTGTCGTCTGTTCTCACACACGTAGCTCTGACAGATGGCTGGAAGTCCCTCACTCGCTGGGTGGCATTTGTGCATTTGTTTGTTTATAGTTTCTTTGTGATCTTCAGAATAGTCGTGGAGAAAATGTTTAAGCATTGATAAGAACTAGAAAGTCTCCCATCAAGAATGGCAAACTGTGACTTAAAATGTCTCTATAGAGGTGATAATACCACTGAACACGTCTACTCACCAATTGCTTTAATAACAGCCGCCTCAGCTGCATTTAGCCAGTCATACAGTCGGCATTGTTTGTAATCTGTTATCCAATCTAAATAATAATCAAGGCTAGATTATAGATCATCGTGTCTCACAAATACGGACGTCTACATCGTCCTCTTTAAAGTTCCCTGTTTCTGCCAAAAAAATGAGTGGACAAACTAAAAAAGATTATATAGAAATTCAAAAGTTCCGTTGTTTTTATCTGCAAAATCCCAGTCTATGAATTGCAGTATTGGGCAGCATCTATCCACACACTCAAAAGAAACACCTTTCCCTCTTTACGATGGGGGCCGACAGAACTTGAAAAACATCTAACTTTGATATTATTTTTTACTGGGGGACACATGGTGACATGGTGCTCAGAAATGTCCTGTGTGTCACAGTCTTATGGCCGATGTCTAATCCTTCCTCTCTGTGGGTGTGTGGAATTCACACAAGTGAACACACCTCCTGCCTGCCGAAAAGGGAGCCATCTGACCTTTAGCTGGTGCTGGATTTAATGAAGAGGCTGTCATTTGCCGTCTCTGAGACTACGCACTCGTCTCACACATACACTTGGTGAAAGTGCAAACCCCCTGATATGCTTCCCTTTGACCAGTCTGGTCATTTCTTTCAGTATTATTGAGTCTGTTACTTGGACAATCACTGTGCCAGTCAAACCAGTCAGACAGGGACTTTGGCATCTAATGCCAAATGGGAAAAAGAGGACACCAGTGACATCCAGTGGCCAATCAGTACTCTGGTTTCACTTCTTGCCGTGAAACTGCATTCCAGGTGTAGTTTTGGACGTGTCTATCAAATACGTAGGTCATTCTCCTTTTTTTTTACAGGAATTCTGACGCACGTGTTACACTCTGTCTATGACAGCAGGCAGACAAATACATGCATCCAGCAAATTTGTATATAAAAACGACAAATGAGACACTATAGAATGACTAGAATTGTTTTGTATTGTATGTTTGTGTCCAGTAGATTGATTGGGAAATAAAGGCATACATATAAAAACAGCCATTGACATTGTAATACACTTAAGGAGAAAAATGGGAAGCACTCATCATGCATAATAATACAGTATGAATACTAAATTGTCATTAATGTCTACATCACAGCTGGTGGAGAGAGCTCATTCTAATGAATTCATTCTGATGGTTAGCTTCTGAAATTCGCTCAGGGATCAGTGAACATTTATCTTCATCTAATGATGCATCATTATGTATTTCTAGATTGCAATTTGTATTTTAATCTGAATCTGCAATTGTTTGTTCCTGGTAAGAAAAGAAGTTAAAAAAATGTAGTAGAGAGTACAATCTATCAAAATATAGAAATAGACCAGTTACCTATCTTACAGTACTCACACGTGATAATGTATTAAATGAATGACTAAAATCCTTTTTGAACTTGTCCATTATGGAAAATAAGCAACCGCTTGACCGTCAAATGAGAAGCTTCTCGAAAATAAAGTTTCTGTAAACCTTAAACTAATTCATGTGAGTGAATATCTGATGAGCAGACACGTCATAAATAATGATCATATTATCCTATATTAAACCAAATAACATCTGATTATAACTATTTATCCCTATTATTCCTTTATACAAACATATGTACATGTATATGTAGAAATCACACACACACACACATACACACCTACACACACACACACACACTGTACGTACTGTATTTTTTACTAATGCAACATTATCATGATTTATTTTTTAACCAAATAAATGCAGGGAAGTGAAGTCTGTGGGGGGTGTGAGTGCACGGCAGCGCTGCAGGCTGCTCTGATTGAATCCTTCCCCAAACGTTACTGGACTCATACACGGTCACACTGCAAATAAAATACACACACCCCAAACTAAACTAATTGATATTGCCATGAAACTTTTACTGCTGACCACTTGCCTGTTTTAGTCCATTGTGAAGTACCAGGCTGCAGCTGACGTGTGGGGGGTGTAAATGCGCAGCAGCGCTGCAGGTACGTGTACAAAATCTGTGGTTTGGAGTCGATGTTCAAGGGTCTTCTTGACGGTTTCCTTTACAGATATGAGTACATACGTATATATATATTTATATATATATATATATTTATATATATATATATATTTATATATATATATATATATATTTTTATATATATATATATATATATATATATATATAAATACATATCTATATACGTGTATATATATATTTACACGTATATAGATATGTAAGCATTAGTATTTTTAGCTACAACCTGCAATCCCTTTACTGTGAGGAACTACGATCAAAGCAGCTCATTTTGGTGTTTGTCATACATGTATATAAAGTTATACATACTTGTTATTAAGTATTTCTCATGGTTAGTGCCATGCTTTTCAATCTACTCTGACAACCTTTTTAAATATATTCATGTTTTATTCACTGCTAAACATGTTGTATTTATTTATGGACTTTCCCGTTAAATACAATACATTACTGAGAATAACTGGGGATATCTGTAGGTGAGCTGCTGTTGAGTAAGACATCATCCCTCTAAATATTATTTGGGGGTCTCACAGTAAGGTGATTAATCATTACATTATTTAACACAGTTGTGTTACCTTGGCAAAGCTTGTATATTAGATAATCAAATAAAGCTGATTATTAACTCCTTCTCAAAGTAAATATTTACAGAAAAAGAAGATAAAGGCTCCCAAAACACCAGAGACGCTGGCAAAACCTGCTGTCATCACAGCAGGGATCTCAGAGCAAGTTAGTCCACTGATGCATGGACGAATAAGGAGAGGTGACACTGTCTGAAAAGGAGACACAAAGATAAATGCTGGATTATCTTGTACTAGTTGATTTGCGAATTAATATAATTATATCAGCAATTTGCTTGATATTTTTTCTTGTCATTTAAGCTGTTGTTTACCTGTTCCAAGAATACATTTCCAGCAGCAGCCATCGATTCGGCTGGAGATGTTGCCATGGTAACCTGCATCCGAGACCAATCTTTGAAAAAGAACAGAACATCAGAGGACAAAAACTGAACTGTAGAAAATGATAACAGAAAACATAAAACAAACAAATTAAATATAAAAATTTGTCGTACTCATTGTGTTACTTAGGAGCAATTATTGTCCGTTTTATATTCCTTAAACTGTATTTTTAATTTAAAAGTAGCCGTAGATATAAAATGTACGTAATCGTTTATTTGAAATCAAATATTTCCCTCTGTTAATACATTTAATCCTCACATGCTCTTAGCCAGTTACACAGTCGGCATCGTATGAGTATGAAGCCAATGAAAAAGGATGGATACGACAGAGCTTAACAAACAACACAAGCATCACGTGGAGTCCACAATCATCAGTATCACCGACATCATCATCGCCACCATCGTGACCATCATCGTGACCATCATCGTGACTATCATGAATATCATTATCGTCCTTAGTATTATTGAGTATGATTGTATGTAGTAGTAGTAATAGTAATAGTTTTACCAACTGACTATTATTGTTGCATTTCCCGCAACTGCAATTCCCGCAAACATGACAGAATATGATCAAAAACTGGTTTCTGAGACCAAGATATAATGTTAATATGACCAAACACATAACCTGAATATTCCAAAAATCTTGTCGTAATTGTTTATGTCATAATTATAAATACTAGTGTTCATGTAGATCTACTAACTAACTTTTTTATTCTGATTTATTCGTTCCTGTAGCATATATGTGTATGTGTGAGAATCATGGAGGTTTGTGTGAGATACCTTGAAGATGAAGAAGTGGTCGTTGTAACTGAGACCAAACACTAACTTAGACCCAACATCTGCAAATGACATAAAAGTCTGTGGAGGAGATTTTCAATTGTTAACAACAGAAAAAAACATTGAAGTAATTGATTGTATCTTTGGTAAGTACAGAAGCAGCATGAATGTTACAGCAGGTACGTGCTACAGTAACAGGAAGATCTCTAAATTTACCATAAAAAGTAGACTTTGATACTTAACAAACAAAGATAACAAGGGAACAAAATAGATAATGAGATAACGACAAAACAAAAAATGACACAAAGAAACATATGAATGATACAAATAGAATGATAAAACTGATACAAAAGAAGCAATTTCTGAAAAAAAGAACACTAACAAAATAAGAAAGTACGGAAGATAAACATCCACTGAAAGTGAAACCAAAAAACAAATCAAGATTAGTGGGTGTCTACCTCTACTTTTTTTCCGAGCCATTCAATTCCAACGAAGCCAAAAATGGTCCTGAGGATCGGCAGACCAAAGACAAACTGTAGCCCAATCCTGCACTGCAAGTTTGACCACACCACTGCAAAACATGTGTCCAATACATGAACCAGCAGTGTGTCTGTATGTGTGTGTGTGTGCGCGTGTGTGTGTGTGTGTGTGTGTGTGTGTGTGTGTGTGTGTGTGTGTGTGTGCGTGTGTGTGTGTGTGTGTGTGTGTGCGTAGGTGTGCATCCTCTACCTATTTGGAGAATATCTGCATTAGGAAGATGAAGAGCAGCAAACCAACAAAAGACATGGACACCAGCAGTGACACGTACACTACGCGCTGTAGAGACAGAACCAGTATCAGACAAGGGAGGGAGGCGAGGAACGCCAGCAACATGAACAGAGACAGACTTACCATCAGGAACGTGTGCGATACGTTGGCAAGAGAAAGCCACGTGTGTTGCAAAGAAGTTACGGATGAATATAAAACCTTTCTAGGTAACGTCAGTTTTGTGGCTATAAAAATCAGCGACTGATGAGTTCAGCATTTATTTGTTTGTTGTAGATCAATTAGTGGGTTAATTCTTCGTTTTTTTAGTCTATATTGTGCAATGGCTTCACCTTTTTACTTAAAAGCACCCTTGAGCCAGTGCATTTGCCTTGCTCTACTGTAGCACACAGCAGGTTTTCTCTCACACGTCACTTGCCGTCAACTGGTCTTGTTTTCTTTATCCTGCCTTGTTTGTATTCAGAGCTCATTCGGATTTTAAAAACAAGGAACTTCAGTGTCGGGATGTTTCTGTTGCCAGGAGACGTGTCTGAACGGTCGTGCACATTACATACCGTAGTTACAGCTACTAAGAAGGATTTTTTGTATTATGACAATGGCTCGTTTGCAGCATGATTTAAAGACAGTGAGCCTCCATCCATGTTTTGATCAGGAAGGGTAGGAAAACTGAAGCAAAACATTTCTTACCATCTGATCAAGAACCAGTTTCGGTCTTTGATAGGAGAGAGCTTCTTCCACACCCAGTCGCCATAGTGTTTCGTCATCCAATACCAGGCCAGGAAGATAACGGTTACCAAGGAGATGACCAGCACCCCGATTGAGGTTCAGGACACATGCCGCTATCACTATGGCAACCAAGCCTGGGACAAATTTAGTATTAATATAAATTATATCCCACAGAGCTTTCTTTAATCAGAATAATTCAAATCTTTTCATTTATTTGCTGCTTTAATTTCTCCAGAAAAACAGTAGTGTACGAAATATGAGCCCTGAAACAAAGAAATACAACCTTAAAAGACAAGTCTGCCATAACATGATCTCTGATGGCAATGATGGCACTTTTAAAATGGATACATATAAAACCTGAAGTCTGAAGGATTACTAACACTGAAAAGGTAATTTCACATTTGATTATTCTTCATTTCAGTTATTTGTCCATCTTTTTTTGTCAACAACACAGCAATGTTCTTTAATCTGTAAACCTGAACACACCTCACACACTAATACTGAATTGAATCGAACCTAATTAAAGGACCAGAGTGTAGCATCTATTGGAAAAATAGAATAATAATAGAATATATAATATGTAATATTTATAAGCATGTTGTATTCCAAAGTATAACCATCTGAAAATAACAATTGTTGAGCTCTTTGTTTCCTTAAAATGGAGCAATTATAATTCCATAGTGAGGTGGTTATTGTTTTTTAAAGATTCAGGAGAGGAAAACCATACACTTGTTCTTGCGTTTCATCTGCAACCTCGCAGCCAAATGCTGCCAAATCTTGCACATTGCAACTTTAAAATATCTATGCAACTATCTGCAGAAAGTTGAAAACATTATGGTTGAGAATGGTGTAATTCCATAAGTCATCTCAAAAGTACAGCATTAACGGTTGAGGAATCCAAAACAATATTTTCATTTAGACAATTAACAAAAAAACACACATTCTCAAGGGGAAATATTTGAGTTTCAATAGGAAGTATTTTGTGAAGTCAAATTCCCTAATAGGGGGTAACTGTAAAAACACACATTTTACTTTTGGGGAAATCACCACTACTTACTTCCATTTACTTAACCGTGACCATCAATTTAGGTGCACAAGCCATCCCAAATTAACTGGTTTAAGGTCTGAATTATGTCCGCAAACGTAGCCCAAGTCAGAGACTCACACATACACACACACACACTCACTCACGAGCCCGTTCATGTCCCAATGCTCCGAGGTGTGGCTCATTTAGGTCCATTCTGACCTGTGCAAGTAGTTTGCAAAGTTAAACAGCCCATTACAAGCCTCCAAACAGACTGAAACTCATAATCAAAATTCCAACCAAGATGTTAACTTAGTTGCTGATTATAAAATAATAAACACAATAATGCAAGACTTTGTGCTTTAAATACAAGAAGAAACACTTTGGTGCTCATGCTTATGTGAACAAACAAAGGAGTATGTGGGACCGACAGAAATATGCTTTACCTTCTGCTAAAACCAGTCTGTGCTAGAGAGCCTCGGAGTGTGTCCATCTTCTTCTCCAGCAGGCAATGCACACAAAAGGAAGGAAGATAAAGAGAGAGGAGACATGTTAAAACACAGGGACAAGAGTCAGAATTTTCCTTCTAAACAGTAAAGCTCCAAAAAATTGGTCTGGCTTACCTCTGACTCAAAGGCCTTGTTGTCTTTCCCCCTTTTTTTGATCATTCCTCTCCATTCCATCCAGTGCACAGGCACTTATTTTCACACACTGGCCAGACCTAATGGGGGCGTTTTAAAAGCATACCTGTCCTATCCCACGCTCATCCTCCCTTCTCCTCCAACCCTGTATTTCTCAACCCGAATCTATTTTACTCATTATGTTACTTTGTGGATTTAGCAGACGGTGAACCCGTATTTAATAAATGTGGCGTGAAAGGGTTATTCCTTTCCAACCCTTTTTATTGGTCTGTCTTTCTGCCCTTGTTCTAATCAGTCTGTGAGCACACACTAACCTTTTCATGACTTTTAGGAGCATTAAATTGACTTACACTCATTTTGTGGAGATATGCCCTTTTTCCAACCACAGCAGTCACCGGACCAATTCTAACCTTTACCATAAAATTAAAGTAAGTCTTTAAAGCCCTAAAGTTTTAAAATTAAAGAAATTTAGGTATTCACAATATCACTAATCAAAGTTATGTCCACACAAGATAAAACTGTCTCTTCTCACACTCAGGCCCTCATGCACAATAAGCACTTTGCTCTGTTTTGCTGGCCGATAGCTTGTTTAGCTGTCATCAAGTGTAGTTTATTAGGGGTTTGCTTGAAGCACAAACATACACACATGCAAGTTAGTGCATAAAATTGAGTTGTGCAGAGGCTGCTCTTTTCAAGCAGGAGTAGTTATTGAAGGAAACCTTCCCAAATTGGTCCACATACCAGTCAGCATGACATGACCGCTCTCTTCTCTTCTATGCAACCTTGAAGGAACAGTCCTCTGCATGGACAATAAGATAAGATTCGATAACATAGAATTTCATTAGCCACAGTCCAGAAATTCTCAGGTTTACAGCAGCAGGGTGGATAGAGACATAAGTAGCGAAACAAGATAAACACATGTCAAATAAATACATCATTGCAAAATGAAGCTAAAAAATGTAAAAAGAATAACATGATATAGTCGGACTGAATGTGTTTTAATACTTCACAGGGGATTGCACAGATGATTTCCAATGAATAGGAGATACATTGGATTTACATTGCACACTAATAAATAAACAAATGAGGAATTGTCAGCTTTTGTTATGTGCGGTCTCCTGGGAACGATGTCGGCTGTGCGGAAATATCTCCCTTATATCAGGGTTTGCAACACAGTCAATTGTTCTCACACAGTCTCTTTCCTAAAATTGAATGCATTTCACAGAAACCCCCTCAGGTAACATTGCATTGTTTCTATGTGGACGCAGCTTGGACAAATGACAAACTGCGGTCGTCGGTCTTCTGTGTCACAGCAGCCACTAGAGTGCACTAGTGTCTCATTTCTCAGCAGCTGCAGTGCACGTCGGTGGTATGTAAAGGTTAGAATGGGTTCATTCAAGTCCACATGAGACAAATTATTCATACTGGCTGAAACATTGGGGGCTCTTATTCAACAACTAAACACTGAGTTATCTACATAACAATAAAGTATAGGAAATTAGACATTCGAATTTTACCCTGGTAATGAATAAAACTTCCCAAAAATTTCTGAAATTGTACATGTTTGTGCATTAAAGTTTAACATAATTAGATATTACTCCCTTTTGGATAGAGAGATAATGTCTGGCCTTTGGTTTTCCCCCAAAAACATTTCTCGTGGGTTAGGGTAACTTTCCAGTTCACAAAGGTGTCGTTCAGTCATTTTTAAATGACTTCTTTTAGCCAAAGACCTAGAGGCCGTAGTAAAGATTACCATGTATTGCTAAAAAAGCCAAACCACATGTTAAAGCCATTTATCGAGCCAGAAGTCAAAATGCTAATGGAAAACTAAACGAAGACACCGCCAGGAAAAGGTTTCTTCTAACTGAGGTTTATTTATCTATACGCAATGTGCTAGTAAGGGAGTAAAAACATAGTGAAGTGGAAAATAGTGGTCCAATAGACCCTAAAACCATCGGTTAGGATCGTATCACTGAGTCACAGAACGGATCACATCACATTTTTGATCCTAATTAAAACACATTTTGTCATTGATAGCTTCATCAATTAATATCTTTTTAAGTTGATTGGTGTCTCCTTTGAACATCTGGATTCAATTAAGTTTCTCACCAACACTACATTATCCAAGTTTGCACGCAAACACAAAAACATCATGAGTCTAACGGTATTAGCTCTCCTCCTGTCCAACACAGATTGTCGTTTACAAATTAACATTATTAGAGATCGGCAACCGCATGGGCAGAAATGTTGTCTTGATAGCATATTTCTGTCAGGGAGCTGCATGGCGGGGAAGGTAGGACTCAGACGCAGAGTTTTCAAAAAGAAAAGGGACTTTAATTGTCAAAAAGGTTTTCAAAAGCAAAAGGCCAAGGGGCAAAAACGAAGACAGGAACGAGGAACGAGATCGTGGACAGGGACAGGGACAGGGACTTGGACAGGGACTTGGACAGGGACTTGGACAGGGACTTGGACAGGGACTTCCATACAATGAACAATGACGCAACAAGTGACAACAGACACACATGTCTTAAATACACTAGGGAGGTGCAGGTGATTGGACACAGCTGGGAACAATCATGACATGACAGACAATCACAGAGGAGGACAGGACAAGGCAGGAAGTGACGTGACCCAGGGAGAACAGAGGACGGAAACTACAAAATAAAACCAGATATGAACCCAAACCGTGACAATTTCACAGATTTTTATTGCAGTAAACACCTGTTGTGGTTTCTACACATACTTGTGTCTACTCAGTGTGTCTACTGTCCCAATCAAGACAATCATAGCCTTAAAAAAGGCTGCTTTGTGTATCTTTAGGGGCCCACATGAATAAATCCTAAAAGTAATCAAAAAATGTTTAAAACAATATGGAATGTGTCTTCAACTTATGTCAACCCAAATCCGGTACTAAAATAAAAATATGATGTCAAACATTTAAAGTGATGTAACTAAAGTAGATTGTAAGATCAAAATATAAAAAATATATTAAACAATCAAAAATAGTTTTATCCATTTTTAGTGATAATTATTCATCTCAGAGTAATTATCATTATGTCAAATTGTGTGGGCAGATGTGTAATTGATATTAAAACCGTTTCTAACATGACAATAAACGATGGATTTTGGCTGCTAAGTCAGTTAAAAAATCAAACGGGATGGACACAGTTATCATATTTTAATCTAGTGAGAGCAATCCATTATATGTATGTACAGTATGCCTGACAAACTATAATATTCCGACAGTGTTGGATAAAACCCATTCTGACTGACACTCGTTCAAGAAGCTGATGCATGTTTGAAAAGGCAAAGACCTTTTGACGCAGGTTGCGACCTCTGTCAAATTTGAAAATGTTTTTGAGGCCGACATCCACCAGATTGGTCCAGACACAAGCAGAGCTCCATGATTGCACTCCTGTATTCAGCAGCACTGCCCGTGCGTCAGCACAAACGTCATTTTCGAGCTGGGGACGGTATTGGAGAGGCGAGCAGAGCGGAGGACTGCTCACAGTCAGGCTGCGTGTCGGGGCAGATGTGCAGGCCGAGCCGTCGAAGAGAAGAAGAGGCTCCGCTGTGTTCCTCAGAGGCTGCAGAGCGCAAAGCCACGGATCAACCCTTTGCGTTGGAAACGCAACCAGCGGTGGGAGATCTATAGCGGCAGAGCGACTGTCACGCAGCCTTACGGCCTCCACTCTGAGACGGACGACAGATTATTGATTAGGGTCTGGTTTGGCCGGGAGCCCCGGTATGATTATGAAAAATGGCCTAACGATTTAATAAGGTGACGCTTAGCCTAGTACATGCCAGCTAAACACTTGATGATTGGTGATTGCTCCCTCGTTCTCTCTCAGTATTTCATTCCCTCTCACGTGTCATTTTAGACATCACAGCCACCTCTTGTCCTGGGTGAAAACGATCAGCTCGGTCGCCATTAAAAAAAGGTCCACATGCCATTTATATATTTAACACATGCTTTTTACTAAACTGAAAATGAAACATCCTTCGGACAGCTTTGTTTTACACAGGATAAGTATCTTATCAAACGCTCAGCGTAACAACAAGATGATATTGCTGACCGTGATAGAGAAAAGTGTTAAACCCTTTCTGGCCTCTCCCAAGGTCTCTCCGTTCACAACCCAAGGCAAGGCCCGACAACCCCAAACACAAGTTCAGAAAGGTGCCCTTGAGCAACAAACCTCCCGCGGTACGAGCATCCCCATCCTCCCATCCTGACATTTGCTCGGTAAACTACACACCCATCCAACCACCACCACCACCACCACCACCCATCTCTCTCGATCTCTGTCAAGAATCATTCAAACACTGAGAACATTGTGAGGAAGACTAAGAGACAGAGAGAGACAGAGAGAGAGAGAGAGTGAGAGAGAGAGAGAGGGGGGGAGGGAGGGAGGGAGGAGAGAGAGAGGGACATTTTGAGTGACTGACGTGGATTCTGGAGGAGACACACACACACACACGGGAAAGGGACGGCACGCGCTCTCCGGCTCTTTCCTATCTGTCATCGAACAGTGAAGACAGATGCTTTTCTAGCTGTGCCGCCTGCGTCCAGCCCGTACGCCGGATTTCTCCTCCATTCGGCCGAACCTGGCACTGAACCCAGCCAACCTGGGCCGGGCCGCGGGGGCTGTTCGGCGAGCCTCGTAGCTGAAGTGGACACCCGAAGATGAGCGCCTGGAGACCCGGGAGCGGGGCTCTCTCTTCGCCGGGCGGACGTTCCGGGTCGTGGCGGTGCTGGTGGTGGTGGGTTCTGTTCATCGGGGTGTCAGTGGGCTCTGGGGACCCGTGGATGTCCGCGGAGGCATGCCCGTCCTCTTGCTCTTGCAGCAGCACCAGGATCTCGTGCGTGGATCCGGAACGGGGCATCAACGCGTTCCCGGTCCTGCAGAGCGAGGCGGAGATGGAGAACATCACCGACATGTGAGTGTCTCTTCTCTCTTACGGCGTCCGGTTGAGGAACCCGAGATGCCGAATTCTCGAGTGGTCCTTTTGCGCGTTCGCTTCGCTTTTTTAATCAGTGCGTGCGTGTATTTTCAAAGCACTTTCCAAATGTGATGGCCACAACAATCGGTTGCGGTCCGCAGGGGAAGAGACAGTGTTGTCTTTCACAAACTCGTGTGTTCATTTAGGGTGAATTTACAGATACACCAGTTTGGGTGGAAATGGAAGACGTATCTGCATTTATTCGGCACGGGTTCGGATCAGACACGCACGCATGTGTGACGTGCATAACAGACACATTCGTATCAGATCTTATTATCACACCTTTCGTTGGTGGCGAGGAAACAGCTCGTTTATTAAACAAATAATAATAAAAGCGGTTGAAACTGATGGACTTCACCATATAGACAAAGCCTTGTCTGTGCGGGCGCGTGCATGTGCCTGAGTGAGTGTGGACCGAGCCACGCACACACGACACCACTGTCATAATGACACATTCATATGGCACATGAATATATTTAAATGAACCCCATAAGCGGATAAACATCAATGTTAGAGAGGGAAAAAAAAGGGAATATTTTTTGGAGTTGAGTCAACATTCGTCTTGTGACCGGACTCTCCTCCTTGGGACGCTGGCTGATAATACATGCTGCATCCCAGGTTGCATTTGAAATGTATACTGTGGCCCATTGTCATTAAATAACGCGGAAATAAATGAAGAATTCATACCCCAGAGCACATAGAAGAAAATGTCAATATATTGAGTTACTGCATTACATTTCTTGGCTGCGATAAACGGCCTTGTTGATAACGACTTGTCGTAGATGAACTTGGGAGAAGCCTTGGACGATGCTTCATTGAGCCAGCAGTCTGCTGAAAAGCATTCACAGAGGGCTTGTCTGAAGTGAACAGACAAATTACGTCCATGAGAGATGTCATATTCCAAACGACCTTGCCAAAAAGAGAAGAAACGTGGAGTTGGGTCATCACATTTTCTGTCTGTTTTAATTGGTAATATACGTCCTTATTTCCCAACATCTGCCCACACAATTTGACAGACTCCATTCGGCCTTCGATGTCCGTGTGAAATCCCAAATGGGCGTATAAACAAATTCACAGCAGTTTGTCATCTCTTGTCTCGTATGGACGTGTTTTGTATAAGAGGTGAGTCAAACAAATCACAAGTCCATCTGCTTTTATCCTCCAGTAAACACACAAGAGGAGGCGCGGGCACTAAATGATCATTGCTCTTTCATTGCTATTTACACAATACAAACAACAAAGGTTTTCTCATTGATGATGCTGACTTTGATAATAAAGAAAAAGACCAAAAAAACAAGTGTATGAATGATGAACTGCATGTGCATGAGCAAGAGAGTGCTGCAGGAATAAGTCCTAATAACGAGTTAGCATTTTACACTTTCGGTACCCTCCTGCGGATGTCGATGAGTGTTTTTTAATGGGCTTTTGGTTGTACGCTTTAAATATGGTCTGTGGCTAACTAAAGCGTAAGATATTTTAATGGTTTGTTCCATAATATAAAAGCCGCCTGTATTCCCCTCTTGTGGATTTTTAGGCTTTTTATTTGTCTTAACTAAATGTCATTAAGCAAAGGGAAGAATCCCCCTTCACAAACTGGTTCATAAATGCCCTCATATGTGACAGTGGTACAGACTAATGCTAGCTATTTACCTCTGCCGAATTGCATTACTCGCTACATAAATCATGTAAGTGGTGCTCATTTATGAGGATTATCTTGCTGAACAAAACATGTCAGTATATAAACTTGGATACTAAAAAAGTAAATGGAAAAGTCTAGTTGGCAGGGAACCACTGCGATGCTAACGTCCGCAGTTGGCCGACAAAAATAAGCCATCCCTGCAGCACTCTTATTTGGCATCTGCATTATTATTCAGCCGTCCTAGTTGAACTGGAACACTGCCTGTCTGCCTTTGACTTTAGAGCTGATTTACAGATGCTTATCTGCTGATGTTAAAGTTTTGATTGGCAATTTATTGTAGATAACACATTTTTTGAATGCCTGACAACCATTTAATCCTAATACAATTTTGTTGTTATAGCAAGGCAGTTCACCTCTTATGTGAAAGTTATTTCATCCAAGGGTGTGTTGAAGATTACGCTTTTCAAAGAATGTGTTTAATTCATCAGTGCGCAGTGTAAAAAAGGCTGACATTCTGGGTCAGCTTCTTTAATTATTGAAAGGCACAGATCAAATTTGATCACTATTCTGTCCACGATCTTTTTTCCGGCGGAAGGTTGACAGGAACTGAGGGGGGACAGAGAGGAGAGGTGATGAGCTTCAAAAGTCTCCTGCCACACTCAAAGCAGGGCTTTTGCTTTTACATGGCGTGCAACAGCATCTTGGAGGCCAATAGGCCGCCAGGTCAGCCCTATGAAACGTTGTAGGGTTTGGGTGCTGTCAATCATCATGCAGTAACTCAAATGTAATCATTTTGGCATCAATTTAGAGACTTGAGAGAGGTACAATACAGCGTATGTTATCAAATAATAAGCAACCAACACAAATCTCAGACCGCTACTAACGACGCTTATTGATGTTGGAAATTAATGCATGTATTCGAGATGTTTTATTTTGTAATTTTGTTCCTTGTGTCAGAGTTGGGTGTGTTTACCACATAAAAAAAAATATTCTCTGGCCGATGATTTAGCCAAACAATGCGTGCAACAGTAAAACTGGGCTTGAGAATCGCCTGAAATAATCACTGTCACTGTTTATTGAGAGTGACGCCGAGTGCGAAAAGTGGCTGGTAGAAGGTTCCTCTGTCAGAACGGCAGGTTCCAGTGGTCGGTGGCAGGTTCCTCTGTCAGAACGGCAGGTTCCAGTGGTCGGTGGCAGGCTCCTCTGTCAGAATGGCAGGTTCCAGTGGTCGGTGGCAGGTTCCTCTGTCAGAACGGCAGGTTCCAGTGGTCGGTGGCAGGCTCCTCTGTCAGAATGGCAGGTTCCAGTGGTCGGTGGCAGGTTCTTCTGTCAGAACAGCAGGTTGCGGTGGTCGGTGGTCAAATTCCTTCCACCAGTGCTGCTGAGGAAAAAGGGGAGGAGGCCTGTGCTTGTTTCTTAACTTTTACAAACTACCAGTTCTCCTGTCATTGATCAGCGGCAGTTCATTTTTTTACTTTGAACTCTAATTATACGGTCTTGTTATGTGCCTTTGTCTCGTCTAAATGATTCTGTTTATGCTTCGCTCAGTTAACAAATGAGCCTTCTGACACACACTTGTAATCCCTGACAGTTACATCGCCAACCAGGGCAGCTTCTCCTCCATCAACGACAAAGACCTGCACTACTACAAGAACCTCAGGAACCTGTAAGTCTTTAATGGCTCCTCGTAACAAGAATAGCCCAAAGGCAAACAGACAGCGCTAATGTCAATGAACCCATTTTCAAGTAAATTATTTCACGCACTGTTTTAAGATTACATATTTACATTCTAATTATTTGGCTTGTCATAATCCTTTCCCTTAACTGTTGACTCTCAGGCATCTTTTTTTGCTTCAGGCCATATATTGAACATGTATGTTTGTTTATTGACAGTTACAGTGTTTTGCTCTGCATTAGTGTCTCATTTCATCTCTTAAATAAAAAAAAGATGTGTTCATCAAGAAGCACTTTCTAGCAGTATCTTTCTATTGAGACATTTAGTAAATGTAAAAAAGTGCAGTCGTATCACTGGCAGACTGGTGAATAGGCCTTAACAGTGGCAAAGAAAGATCTTTAATTGAGACATTATGCAAGGATAGCCCTGGATGACCGGGGTGAAATCATTTTTCTATATAATTTATTCATTTTATATTTCTCAAAACAGATTACCATGTTGTATTGTTGATGCATAAATTGTTAGTTGTTGATATCTGTTACAAATCTATATTTTGTACGGTTACATTGTGGTCAGAGTCAACGCAAACCAAATGATCACAAATGGTAATTAGTTTCCTTAAATCTTTCACATTTAAAACCTCCCACCATTGACCTACACTTCTGATGTTAATATTTGCTGATGTCGGGATTCAGATGCTACTTTTCTGTGTGTATCCTACAGCGCGACCTGTGGAAACTCCACTAAGTTCATCAGGATCCCGAAATCATGTTTTCGATGTTGCAATAATTGTTTCATTCATGATGTTGATGAAAATGACACTGTTTTATTTGTGTTTGTGTCAGAACTGTGACCAACAGCAGGCTAACATATGTGTCGAAGCTGGCCTTTCAGAATAACATCAAAATACAATACCTGTGAGTTCATGCTATCGATTACTTTATACTGCTGCTTTCTTGACTTGGCAACCTCAGTGCAGATCACCTTTATCACCTTTATTACCTTATGTAATGTTTACATTTAATTAATTTGTTGGATTAGTAATTATTGAAAATGGACAGGAAATGTAGATCCAAATGTAAAGAAAACCTATTTGTGATATTTTAAAACAAAGTTGATCGGGAAGAAAAGAAACAAAATGTTACAGGTCAGGTTCCGACTGAGCAGGATTTATAGATGATCAATGTGATTAAAGTTTGATACCAGTATATTAATTCATTAATTGTAATGACAAGAACGTGGATCAAGATCATTGGTGCATATCAAACGAGTCGGATGTGGTTTTACAAACACAATCTCCTTCCCTGATGTTCTACTTACTTTCCAGGAATCTGAAAGATAACAACCTGTCGTCACTCTCCTGGAGGATATTCAAACACCTCAACATGTCTTATCTGTGAGTGCAGTTCCTCCTTCTCTATCAGTCTGTCTGTCTGTGTGGCTTACATCCCATTTATCATCACAGCATGTAGATTGACATATATCTGTGTTTTTCCCATATAAATACATTTGATGTGCACTGCTGCCTGTAATCTTGAGGTTACCTGGAGCCAGGAAGTGATTATGATTATTATAGGCTTTGGGTAGCAATGTGTAATTGGCTATGACAGCTATCAATAAAGGCCAATTTGCTCTATCCATACACTTGTCTCCTATTACTAATTAATATTACTTGTAATAAAGCACTACTCTTCAAATGACATTCAGATATATTGAGAAACAAAGATCATTTATAAAAACATGTATACTGTATAAATATGTAAAATAAATATACTAAAAATGCTGTATACTAACTAAATGCATTTTTACCTTGGGTGGAAGTAGTTAACAGATTATTTTTCATTTCAAGTGAACATTGAAATAAGTCCATTTTAGAGAGTTCAACATGATATACATAGTTGCTTGAGTTAGATGAGAAGATACGTATTTGTTGCTTTAGTATAAAGCCAACTGATGGTTGGTTTACTTAAATTTAGCATTACAGACTTGCAACAGGGGGGAACAGCTAGCCCGACCCTCTCCATGGCCAACGAAACTAAGCAGCACCACCTTGTTTAATCTCATTGAACAGAAAAGTAAAAGTACATCTGCACAAACAATATTTAATGAGCCAATTAGTGCTTTATTTGTGCTTATTGGTGGATTTCATTTGGTTTGTTTGTCGTTCTTGTAACAGCCGGGCCAACTGGACTAGTTGGAAGCCATATCTAACAAACAGACATGAGTTGTTAAGCTGCACATTTCCCAAAAGAACCATTCAATTGATCACGTTGTCATTGACTACTCACTGTTCTCGACAGATTTTGACTAAGTGTGTGTGTGTAGGATCCTGACAGGCAACCCTCTGCACTGCTCCTGTGAGAACATGTGGATCAAGCTGTGGTTGGGAGAGGAAGCAGACACTCAGGAGCTGCACTGCATTGAGGACGGAGTAGGACGCAAGCTGCTGTCCAGACTGACACTACCTAACTGTGGTGAGGACACACACACACAAACGTGCACACAGAGTAACATGATGGAAAAGACACTCACGGGCTGTAGCAGAGTGCAAAGTGGTGAAGCACCTGGAGGAAAAAAGTAATCCTAATGGTTTCCTGTGGAAGGATTTTACCAAGTCGTTGCATTGTGTGTTCCCGCTGACATGTGTCTGTCCCATCTGTTTTTATGTATGGGGCTGCATAAACAGGTTTGTGTTGAAGCGTTTAAACAACTGGAACAAATACAGTTGGTTGTTACTGTAAAAACTATTAGCTGTGAAAGAACACAATTTATGCTTCGACATCAGCCAGTGTCGTACTCAGCCACAGGCTGCGACGAGGATGCATGCACACGTTGCCCTTCACTTGCTCTGCTTAGTCTGTATATCGGAATTCCTTTCGACAACGTGCACTGCAAAAAGCTACAATGTCTTACGCACAGCCAAGCGAACAAAGGCCCAAAGGACCACTTGCACGCACACACACACACACACACTCTTTAAGTCCTGGTTTTATAGAGGGCTTAAAAATGTTGTAAAATCGGTGTAATTAAAAGGCCTCAGACACCAACGGGCTGACGTTATTTCTGTGCTGCAGGGAGTCTACTCATATGTGATGCACAGATTAGCCGACAGTTGGAGGAGTGCGTTAAATGGGACCTACAGAGTAGTGTTTGTGTGCACCGTGTGACGGATTACGTCGTCATGCTGACTAGTTACAGTCATACCAGACATTTGCTCGTAGGTGTTGAAAGGTCTCTTTGCAGGCAGGAGATATTTTATCAAGAGGGAGGTCAACGCACGTCCTATGGCACAAGTGACCTGCTGCTTTAAATTCCTTTTTCCTCTGAATTATCGTGTTTTGATTGTTAATTAAGGAATTCTTTCTGAACCAAAAGGCAAGCTGATATACTCAACTGCAACGGCAGTAATCACGTTTTTATGAGCAATAAAAGCCATTTCCTACAGATTCATTTCCAAAAACTTAATGAGAATGTGTTGCACCTTTGTTTAAGTTGCAAATAAACAATATTTAGTATCCCTTAAAGAAATACTGTGTTTACAAACCAGACAATTCTATTTCCAGTAGCAGTGCATAAAGTTATTTAAAATGTCAACCGGCGGCTTGCTGTCACTCCCAGATATGCCACAGCCCTTTTATGTACTTGCTTATGGGAGTGTTTATCAAGCTTGAATGTATAAATGTCAGCCATTTATTGATGCTTTATTCTTCCTCTCTTAGTTAGTCATGAATCTCGCTATTTCAGTCAGTTCATTTCATGAACAGAGTCAGATTACATCTTGACCCATCCGACTGACCATAACAAAGGTTTTTATGAGCTCGGATCTGGCTTAAAGTGACATCTGGTAATAACTTAGAGCAGAACTCAAGCAAGCCAATAAAACAAAGATAGTTCCAGCCTTTGAGGCAATATGTTCAGTCAGATCCTGCACGTTACTGAGAACATCAAATATTTTCATTAATAAAACACACAATAATACCAGTCAGATAAGCTATTTGATGTTTCTCTAATACCTGAACATGAATCTGAAAGTATTTTTGTCATCTGGTCAAAAAGAGCTCAGACCAGTCGGGACGCACAGGAAGCAAACAATAAGTTAGCATGCAGGAAGCTAACAATGTCATTGATAACTCCTATTGATCCGTCCCCTCTGACTCCCTTCCATTAGCGGAGGTTATTTTTGGCACTAGCACAGCTACAGCGGGGCCCCTGGAGAGGAGGGCAGGGGACCCCCTGGCAGTGTGACATATGAGGAGGACGTGGTGGTGCAGGGGTGTCATATGGTGCCCCGGGGCTGACACTGACTGCACCAAAAGACCCAACTGCTGGGATTTTGGACTTTGTGTCATATTTTATCGTTAAGCCCCCCCCCCCCCCCTCCCGCCCTCACCCGTGCAGGCTGTCTGCCCTCCTCTTCATTACTCATTTTCCATCTCTCCGCCTGCGTGTATGAGTGTCTCGCCCTCTGTCTGTCTGAACATTTCTGAGTGACGTATGGGGAAGGCACAAAGCAGAGGAAGTGCCCAACGATGCCCTGGGGCCGACACTGATCTCTCAGGCCACCCGCATATGTCTCTCTGCTTGTTTGTCTCTGTGGGCGTTTCACTGCTGGAGCTTCGGTCGGAAAAGCAGGCAAACACAGGCTGTTCCCCACTGCTCATCCAAACAAAACCTCACTAAGATATTGCTGCTCTGATGCTGCTGCAGTTCCATGCTAAAGTAGGTGGACCGTTTGGGCTTCAAACAGCTGCAGGTATTAAAAATCCTCCCACTCAGCTCTTTGTTAAGACAATGATTGAAACGATAAACGAAAAACAGATATATTCCCCACTCTGGTCTGATTCCCATTAACAAATCGTTAGTAGTAGTTTTAGTATCACTTCAGGGTAATTTTTGCTAATGTCAAGAAATGTAATCTTTTCCCAGCATCCTGCTTATTACACGTTAAATGTCTGTGGGTTAATTGGATTTTGTTAAATGATCCAGATACATAAAGGCTCTAATGCAAACCATTCGTCTAGAGCAAAAACAACGGTGCTGTGGAAATGACAGCAGGTCAGACGTCTGCTGGTCACATCACAGCACCAGCACCCTGTCTCTCTCTCTCTGTCTCTCTGTCTCTCTCTCCCTCTGTCTTTCTGTCCATTTGTCGGGCTGGGACCCATCAGTTTCCCTTTCTTATCTTCTTCTTCTGATTAATCTTCCAGATATTTCCTCAGTAGTGTAAATACATACCTGCATATCTCTCTGCTTCCTCCTTGTGTATAACGTGCCCTTACAGTTGCATATGTCAAACACACATGCAACTGACTCCAGCTGTAATAGGCCAGTAAAGGCCAGATGGCATCTATGTCTGCAGGGGCGCAGATGCTTTCACATGTGCGAATTTGCTGAAGAGTCCACTCATTTACTTGTTAGATTACAAGGGATTTAGAACAAAAGCTGTTTTTAACAGCTTTTAACAGCACAAAGAAAATCCGCACAGTGCATTGATTCTTTCTGCAGTCCTTTTGAGCCCATGCTGCTGACTTTTAGCAGGAAGGTTTCGCAAAGAATTTAAAATAGACAACATCTTCAAAAACAGATGGGAACAATTTGTGCAAGCCATTCAATAATCATCACTTTGGGAAAAGGAAAAAAGTAATTGCTAAGATCTGAAAAAGTGACGTAAATTGGTGCATACAGATGGAATACTGTGCCGTTTTTTGTGATTAATTCAACAGGGGTCCTTCATATTACAGGAATGATGCATAGCTGAAAAAGCTCATTAAAATGAGCATAATGTGTATGTAAGAGAGCTGTACGCCCTCAAGATTCACGCATAATACAATGCACACTGTACACTGCAGAAGCAGTGTGTCCTTTAGAGGTGCAGTGAAAAGGGGGTCGAGGTCGCAGTGATTTAAGGATGTTTCTTCATGCAGGAGAACGGCGTTCCATTTATTTATGCAATATCAATGATGTTTCCTTTAATGTAACTTTAAAAAAAAAAAAAATCTAAACATCAGCATGTACTTAACCACAATTAATTTGTCTTACCTACAATCCTTCCACAACCCTAACAACAAAGCCGGGCTATAATTTCAGGAAGTGAAAATAAAAAAAATGATGAAACTGATACAAAACAATGATACAGACAAGGCAGGTGATGACGATTTTGAGGAAACAAACATAAGTCTGACAGTCAATTTGACCATTTAACCGTTTTAGTTGTTATTTTGGTGTCAAAGCTGCTCAGTCCTATTTCCTACTTTCCTTCCTATTTCTCTGCTGTCCTTGAACAGAAATCCAGTTGTGAATGCATCACCTTTTATTAACCATTTACTGTCTAATAATTTTAAAAGAAATTAAATACACATTTTTTATTGATGTGTGTTGTAAAGGCAAAGTCTCAAGTGTGAGAGCCGCAGCGTTTCATCTAGGTAGCCGTCGAGCTCAGGCAGTATTACTCAGGCGAAGGATCTCTCCCCCTCTCTTTCTCTCTCTCCCCCTGGTCCACATCTCGGTCGTGGAAAGGTAGAGGCCACAGATTATAGATGTGAACACTTCTCCAAACACGGATGTGGATGCACCTGTGTGCCCATAACAAGAGCTGACAACAAGGATGCTGAAGTATGCTGGCGTATTGTGAAGAGGTTCTCAATAGAAAGCGGATGGTTTGCTTTTAGATTTGGTCTGTGAGCAGCTATTCAACTCTACAACTCTACACCACCTGGGCATGTAGCCCCTGCTGTGCATGTAACTCACATCCTCATGAAGGTGTTCTAAATTTAAAGAGATCCGGTGCTGGAACATGTCATGTCAAAGAAAACAGGAAAAAGATACTGATCTGTTAATACAGAGTAGTTACTGCTGGTGTTTACTTTAAGTATAATGGGTGGCAGATTAAAGCAAAAAGATGAATATGAGGTTTGAAAGATGAATATAGTTCATGAGGATTTAACCTGTGTTAGAGTGCAAAGACCTGGATTATAGTAGAGTAGGGATCAAAGTTTGAGCGTCTTTAGCTTCTGGTGTTGACAATAACTACATGAGCCAGATAATCGTAATTTGATACAAAATTGATTTTCATTTTAGATAGATGTACAATACTGGGGATGAGATCTAAAATGGTTAATAAATAAAGACTCAACTTCATTCTTCAATTTTAAGATTGATTTGGGATTTATTTGTTCTTTTAAGTGTCATTCGAGCAAGTGACCAAATCCAACCCAATGACCACAGGGCACATTCATACGGGGTGTAAAACATCTGATGGCTAGCAAGCAGCCTTGACTAAAATATATGTATGTATGCATATATATTATTTATGTTCTCATTTGTCATGGTTGTTTTGCATCAGTTGGCCCCTCTGCAGACACTTGACAGCCAGCATTTGCCCCAGTTTGTTTTCGACACACTGAAGCACACAATCCAGAAACGTTCCACGCACGGCTCATATGTTGTCACAGACACGGGCGGGTCTGCCGTGCTAATTACGGTACATTGCTTCTTCAATCCCACTTGTGGATTTCAAACACATCCTGAAGGATTTCAATCACACAGGATGTCACGGCTGGTTTGACTACTGAAGCTGTGCACACAAATTCAGATTCCTACAAACTGGCAGGTCATGACGGACTCGCATGAAACCACTTTATTTCAATCCAGGCGCCGTGGGGTGCAGCTTTGTGTCTGTGCGACCGGCTGATGGCTGTAGAGAGGACAACGCCTGTTAAGATATGTGGTGCTGACATGGCAGCTGGTCTGCCACCGCTGAAATCACTGTTTTTTAGTGCGTCTTACAGTGATTGAGTGGGTTGCCGTAGTGATAAGGATTCTGCCAACGGACAAAAGAAGTGGAAGAGGAGGAGGGAGGGAGGGAGGGAAGAGAAGCGGGGGGGGGGGGGGGGGGGATTCGATAAGGAATCTGTCCTGTTTTATCTGGAGTAGATGTCGACACCCATTTCTTCCTCTCTTCTTTTTTTCTCCTTTTGTCCTTTCCCTCTTCTTTGGGCTTCTCTCCTCTTTGTTGTCCTCCAATGTTCCCACTCGTGGTCAATTCTCGTTTTCTCCTTTTTTAATTCTATTCCTTGCCATTTTGTGTACTCTTATTTCCCCCTCTTTTTGTTACTGGATTCTCACATGTGCTTTCCTTGGTTCTTGTGTTGTCTCGTTATGTTTTCTGTTGTCTATGTTTCTTCTGTTGTTCTTGCTCATCGTCTGGTCTTTCGTCTCGTTTTATTATATTCCATTGTTTCTTCATCAGGGATGCTATTGGACAGGGGATGAGGGTGGCAAGACTGTGATGTAATCCTATTGGTCCCACCAGGGTCACCTGTTGGTCAGCAGCAGGGTATTTGCTTTTGACTGAGGCTTCAGACTGTGTCCAATCAGTTTAGTACTTGGGCTGCTTAAGACATGCACTAGTAATAAGTGTAACCATCACTGTGTTTGAACTCTGTCTCTTGGCCTGACTGTTTGATTGGGGTAAGTGTGCTTGAATGAAAGCAAGAGAGAGAGAGAGAGAGAGAGAGAGAGAGAGAGAGGGAAAGAAGGGGATTGGATTTGGTCTGTGGTAGTGGTTGTGTGTTCGCCTGCTCTCCCAGTCTTATTGTTTAGGTTGTTACGTGACTTGTGTTTTAACTGAAAATACAAGAGTTGGCCATGAATCCAAAGTTTGCTTCCTTCCCTTTTCTGTCTACCTTGGCACCCTCCTCTTCTGCCTCTTCTGCCTCCCACCCCTGCTTGTATGTAGAGGTTCCCATGGCAACGTTGAGCCCATCCAAAGTGAGACTAATGGAGGGGAAGCACGTGGATCTGTCCTGTGAGACCTCCGGGGTTCCCTCACCTGAGCTGATTTGGAACATGGCGTTGGTCTCCAACTATGAGGTCAGGTTCCGGACACGGAAACACAAACCCATATATGTTTAAATCACGCATGTCATATATATATTAATTAGTGCTGAGCAACGATTACAATTTTCAGCAACATTAATCACATCGTAATACTCAAAATTCAATAATGAATTTAGAAGTTGTTTATTGCGCACTTTTATTTGTGCAAAAATCTAAAACAAATTAGGTGATTTTTAACAGCAGTGTTTTCTTTACAAAGTAGTCTCAACTTAAATTTTATTTAAAAAAACCTCTTTGTCACTTAATTCAACATTTGATCTAGTTTGTTATAAAAACGTAAAAATAAAGTTACCGGCGACCATCACAATATAATATAATATAATATAATTATTAAGTTAACGTATAATGTATAAACCTGTTTTCTTTGTTTTTCTGAACAGGTACCTGTTTCTTTGACTAGAGAGTGGCATAAACAGTCCATCCATAGCTCAATAATCTACATTCGGTAGCAAGTGTCCCAGTTGGAGTGATGTGATTCAGTACTAAGTATACAGATGGGATTTACTGTGCGGAGACTTTTTAGTCTGTGAAGACCGTATTTGTACTGGATTTCCTTTCAAACAAAAGAAAAGCAACAGACTTTCAAACTCGAAATGATAACAAAAGAAAATACGTCAACGTGCTGTAAAATAATTGTCTGCGTTAATCAATTGACGTCATAATAACTAACTTGCCCAGCCCTCGTATTAATGCTTTGGGAGATTAAACAATTAGGTTTTTTTCTCCGAGGCAGGTTCACGAAACACCCCCATGACAAAAAGCCTTTCTCTTGTATATGTTGAAAAATGGGTAATGATTCAGGCTAACACGGATGCTCTTACGCACTCAGATCGAGACATCGGGGCAGCTTTCTGTGCTACGACTGTCCAACCTGTCATCAATGGACCACAACAGCAAGATAAGCTGCACAGCCGAAAACATCGTTGGAGACAAAGAGTCCTCGCTGCTGCTGGATATACTTTGTACGTTTTGCCTCTGGCCAGCAGTCCTAATTTAATGTAGAGTATTGTCTCAAAGGATACGTCTGTGCCGCCTCCAACAAAGATAATTCATTTTTTGCCAGTTTTACATCTGAATTGCTCTTTGGTCTTATCTTGTTTTGTACTGTTTGTATCTCATACTGTTGCTCCCAAACTCTCTATTCCCTCTACTATACGCAGTCCCTCCAAAAATCCTTAAACTGAGTGATGCAATCAATGACCATCACTGGTGCATCCCCTTCAGTATAACAGGTAAGATAGACAGACCTCCACATCTAGTCCAGACGGCTTCACATTAATCTAAATCTGGAATAGTGTCATAGCATTTGGCAATCACTGCAATGACTAAAGGAGCAAATAAGATTTGCAATAAAAAAAAGCTGGACAATGACAATCACTCAATCTCCTGTATTGTCTTCATTACTTTACCCCAGGAAACCCGAAGCCAAAGCTGCAGTGGTTTCTGGACGATAAAGCAGTGACGGAGGGGCCATTCATCGAGACTAAGATTCACGACATCACAGACAGGGAATACCACGGCTGCCTGCAGCTGGACAGCCCCACGCACCTCAACAATGGCCGCTACAGGCTCTTGATCAAAAACGAATATGGGTCAGACGAAAAGGAGGTGGAAGCTCACTTCATGCGCAAGCCCTGGGATGGTGAGGAGCGCAGTGTTGTTTTTCAAATGTGGAGAAATTAAACCATTATTCAATTCAACTGCCATTGCCATCAGCATATGAATGAGTAATGGCGGAAAATGTTTGCCAAAAAATAATCAGTTCAAGCTGGTGCAACGGGACAGTGGTAAAAAAATCCCCTTCAGGCATCTGCGAGATGTCCCACTCACAGGAATGCACTGGACGGACTGACAGTAGGAAGCGGACTGCCTCAGGCCAGAGCTGTAGACGGCCTGCATTCACTTTTACAGTTACGGTTCCAGGTCTTCTGTGCGATTGTCAATCTCTCTCTCTCTCTCTTTGGCAGATTTTCTCCTAATGTTTTATGCCACGATTGTGAATTTGTTAGAGAGACACTGGGCAGAGGAACCTCCCCTTTGGACTGTGCAAGAGCAATTGTCGCACTGATGCTGTGATTGTGACAGTCTGCTGTTTTTGCCAAAAAAAGGGATGCCGCACTGGCAGTTTTGTAGATGCAATTATAGGTAGTGTCCAGATTGAGCAAAGAGGTAGATTTTGGCATATTCAATTATGGAGTGCAAATATGATGGTAGTATAAGTAAAAGCTATCTATCTACACATTGCAATAAAGCACTAAAACTGTTCTACCTGCTTAAGTATAGATGGCAAATGGCTATCTAAAAAATCAAAAAAATAAAGGTCCAAGAACTTTTTCTAATGGTAACCTGTTTATTTTTCTCTCTATGTGCAGGAACGGATAAGGAGCCGTACTATTATGGTGAGTTAAATAAATGTTTATTGCAACAAATGTGTTCATCAATTGTGAAAGTATTAAATCCAACAAATCCAGTTACGAATAATTGTGTATTCATAGTGTCACTGTTCTCAGATATTTCATCTCATCATTTTCATCCTCATCAATTAACATTAATTACATTTGAAAATGTTTTCTCTTTCTCTTTTTTCTTTCAAGTTGGTGAGGGTGCGTTACATACCTACTAGGGATTAGGGTTGTTGTTTGTCTTTTTCCCACAATGTGTCCCCAGTGTTATTTTTCCTTTTTTACTGGTATTCTGCATGTTAAATATATGTTGTTTGTTGGTTTTTGTATTGTGTTTGAGTGATGGACATATTCTTTAAACAAGCTCAGAGTACCGGCATGACAGACAACATTTTTGTAGAATGCATGACGAATAATTTACACTTTAAGTACATTGACTTGTTTGTGACCTAATTTCTCTCCCTTGTCTCCTTCCTTTGTTGCTGCTTCTCAAACACTGCTCCCTCCTGCAGATCTAATCACAGGTACCGCCATGTCTTATATCTGCTCACAGTCACAAGGCCCGCCCCCCTAAATTACCATTGATCAACCTTCCCTTGTAGTACAGAACATATTCAGTGCACAATTATAACGGTGGCTGATTTACTATGAATTCTGACAGAGGCAGAACAAAAGCAGCCTTTCCATTCCTTGCCGGTGAACATGCATTAACTAATCCAATGTCAGCACCTTAATATTAGTTAAAACACTGTCTCCAGCTAATTTTTTGAATGTTTACAGCTGAGTAAAATAAAGAACAAAGCTCCTAAATATAAAATTCTAAAATTCTAAAGTCTTTAAGCTAAAGCTGTAAATTCCAGCAAAGTTGACAAAAACATGTAAACATTCTTCTTGAATTGGAGTGTTAGTAAGTCCTGATATGTATGAGGGTCACTCTGAATAGCTGCTATACAATACTTTACATCTATGCTGAATTCTTTGTATGTTTAAACATTGTGTTTTCAACTTTAACATTACAAGAGAATGGCTCTCACACACGACTTTCCATTTACGCAAAGGCCAAAATACTTACTTATAATAACAACCCGCTTAACAAACTGTTCAATCTGCAGAAAATATTTAATCATAAAACCATACTATGCCTTTTACTCTAGCTGCAACTTACTTTGAGTGACTGTCTCTCTGTCCGTCCACAGAGGGCCCCCCTGTAGAGCCCCCTGAAGACAGAGTCGCCGTAAGTCTCATATTACTGTTGTACTCTGTCCCTATTTCTCCGCTGTTGACCTGTTTTCTTCACTATATTTCCTTAGCTGCCACTTTTGTCATGTTTGAAGCAGTTAAAGGATTCCTGCAAGACACAGAGATAAAGCAGCCCTTATAAAAATGCTTGTGGGTGGCCCTTGGTGCTCTGGAGTTTACAGTAGGTGATTGTCTCTTTTGTATCTGTCATAAGTCTGTTTTGTCATTTTGCAGGTGTACGTGGTCGTGGGCATTGCTGCTGTCGCCTTCACCGGTTTCCTTCTGATGTTGGTTATTCTGAAGTTTGGTGGGAACTCCAAGTTTGGCATCAAAGGTAAGTCTCCTGACTTGGATCTGCATTGGTGGCTTTGACTATTTGGGATGACTAAATGGATAAACTGATGGCGATTATTTGTTTGTGGACTTTGATGACTTCATGGATGCATCAAAAACACATTTTGAAAGATTTATCAAAAATACCTTCAGATCACTTGCAAATTGACTTTTTCTAGAGAAAAGTAAAGGAGACACCTGAAGTTTTAATGACTCCAGCTTCAATCTCACTTGTGTCATCTGGTCGTACTTGTTCACGTTAGTGGGGATATTGGACCTTTTCTTTGAGGTTGTTATTTCAGCTCGACGGGTAATAGAGCTTCACGTGTTATGTTGAAGTTATGATAAAAAACAAAAAAAACTAATTCAGGGGCCCAGACTCAAAATGTGTGTTTGTGATTTCCCAATAAATTGCATTTAATATGCAAACCATCATGTGTCCATGAATCCATCCTGTTCAGGTGGAAAGCAGCGGCTGTTTGAAGGAATCGGGTGATTAACATGCATGCGGACTAAACCGAGCACCTGCAGTCTTTGTCATGTTGATGTTGAACTACTTTGGGGATTTCTGCAATGGCTACAAGTGTAACACATTCATCTTTTATTACTGACTGAGACTCATTTGTCTTTGTTTGGTCATTTTAACGCTTTGCTGATATTTCCTCATACTTCCTCATACTTGTGCACTAACATCTCAGGCACTTTTCTACAAACATAACAATGGTAACACATTTTTTCTCCAAATGTAGACGTCAATGTGCCGCTAAAGACCTGGCAGCGTATTGAAAATCATCCTCAGCCTTTTTGTTTGAGAAAGCGATTCAAGTTGAAACTTTGAGAAAATCCCAAGATCCAAAATCTTGGTGTAGGAGCAGTTCTCTGTGGCTTCTCTTCAGTTGACTTTTGATTAGCGCAGTTGTGTTGAGAAAGCGTTGATGATGAGCAACCAGAAGATATCGACATTCTGAGGAAAGCGGTTCTTTCAGGAATAAATAACAAGTGAGCAGCCTGAACCAATAGTATTTGAAGCAGTGGAGGTTCACATGTGCTTGCGTGTGTTTTTGTGTGATTTAGGGGTGCAAGACAGATGAAGCAGCTAGTACGTACATCATGCGCGTTTGTATTCATGGTCTTGTGGGCTGTTTATTCTTCCTCCAGAAGAAGTGCATGAAGTTGCTCGGAAGAAAAGAATCCAACGCCTCTCCCTTATATATATCGGTTGATGTGTCTAAGTGTGTTTTCTTGTACATCCAAGCATTTCTGCTTGTGTTTCAGCTTCCATACGTGTGTAGGATGTTAGCTCACATTACTGTTTTGCCCTTCGGATGGATTGAGTTTTCATCCTCTTCTATTTCCTTTCCCCATGCAGTCTTGTCCCCGTGCTCCACATACTGTACATGCAGATGTAGTGAGGCAGAGAAAGAAAACATATTACAGACATTGGAGGCACAAAAAATAATAATCATGGAGCCGGGTGACGGGTTCATATGCAGAGAAAAATAACCTTCTTGGATTAAAGTAATAAATAAACTATGAGGGAAAAAAAAAAAACAATAGTGGAGTAGATAACTGTGGTGCCGAAAAACGTTTTTTCTTCACTCGGATAAATCGTATCACATCACAGAGAACGCTGAACACTGAGGGAAAAAGTATTGTATTGTAGCGGCTCTCCGTTGGCACCCGCTTGTGTGTGGTTGGGTTGCAGGAGCAGCAGACTTCCAGAGGCCTTCCAGAGGAGCCTGTACCGAGCAAACGTTGAGCAGACGCTCCTCACTCATATGCTGCCTTCCCTCCACTCTGGTTAACGGACATGGTTCCAAGTAAAATGGATTTTAGCGCTGAAATAAAAGACACAGACTTGCGTCGTAAAGAGTCTCTAATTTCTAAAACTCCCACAATAGCGGTATGTTGTATACTATTTTATAAAAGAACACAGAAAGATCATCAAAGAAAACTTGAATCAGTTTGTTTCAGGAAATCAATATCACGACACACAAGGAGCAAAAAATCATAAACATCCCCCTTAAAAAACGAACACAGGGATGACTGCGGTGATAAACTTGTGATCAGAAAGTGTGAAATGTGCTTTCTGACCTCTCAAAGTCCTGCCCACTACGACATGCATTCCTTCCCACAGCAAAGCCGCAGCCTTCAGGCACAGAGAGGTTCATCATCTTGTAAATGGACCCTTTTACGTGCGGACTGGAGGAGTCGAGGTGTGAGCCCGACGACGCCCTCCAAGTCTGGGCCAAAACTGAGGCCTCAAAGACCCCGTAAGGGGGGACGCGTCAACATAAACCTTACGGAAATGTTAATGCGTGGGGGGGGATCGGAGAGGAGTGAAAGAAAAACAGGGAGAAATCCATCAAGGGAGTGAAAGGAAAAGCTCTAGGAAAAAAGAGATGAAGAGAGAAGAGCCCGATAGCAGATGTAAGAAACTGAGACTGTAGAACGCCCTCCTTAGTCCACTTATCAATGATTCGTCATTAGTGCAGGTTTCGGTTTATATCCTTAGTTAAACGCCTCCATCCCTTCCTCCCTCTCCGTCTCCCTCTCACACGTACACAAACCGCTCCTCATTGCTGATCAATATGACAACCTCAAGGTCAGCAGGGCTTCATTCTGGGGCCAACCGAGCATGCTGAGCGTTCCTCCTACTCCTCCTCACCCTCCTCACCCTCCTCACCCTCCGCCCGTTCTTCTCCCTCTCTCTGCTGAAATGCAGCTTTCGCCTCCAGCTCTCGGGGGACTTTTTCGAAGAAAGCCGCTCACCCACAAAACTCGTGAAAAGGAAGGTGAAAGCGGAATGAGTTGAGCTGGAGAGCTGGAGAGGCTGAAAAATAAAGCCATCTACGATTCTGTATTCAGACTGAAGCTGAGGATCGAACCTCATTCTTTTTAGAGGAATGACTGAAATGCGTTGGTTTAACTGCAGTATCAGCATCTGGTCGGATTGTAAATCTATTTTATTGATCAAATATGTATACATTAAATCACAATGTTGGTTATTTTAGGCTCTATTTTACACAGGCAGAGTTCCTGTGTGGCTGCTTCGTGTGGAGAGAACAAAACAAACACCCCGAAAAGTTGTTAGACCCAGTGGCGCCGGTTTGAAGGGCGCTCGCTGTTTGAAAAGGTCCTAATAACAACGGCAGCGACAGATTGATGACAGACATAATTTTATGTAATGTGTTGTTATAAGTGAGCCATTTATTTAATACAAGAATGAGAAAAGCAACTGTAACAAAATCATAAATATTAGCTGTATTAGCTGTATTAACAATAATACAGACATTTCATTTAAAATAATGTTTTTACAACTTCATGCAATCTACAATAGAATATATTGTTTCATGAAGACATGTCCAATGTTCATGAAGACCAGATGAAAGCAGGCAAAGTGGGCTTGTTACCACATTGAAACCATTCATCCTTTTGGGAACTCCATCAAACCACCGGGGAACTATTTATTTTGATCTGCGTCAGGCTTTTCTCTGAGATCTGTCCTGAAGTGAGTGCAGTTATTGCAAATTAAAATTGAGCAGTAAAAATGTTTCTTCGTATAGGGCACACCGGCACAGACATTCCCTGGGAAACTGTAACAACTTGTTTGAATGTCGGCGGGTTATTTGCAGGGAACGACTGGAGCTGTAAGAGCTGCACTGAGACTACGGGAACACACCCGTATTGCACCTGAAAAGCTATGTGCAAAACACAAGTTCAAATTGGATGTTTTATAGATGGTTTACAGTCAGAGGCACAAGATAATAAGGTATTGAACAGTTATGTATCCGGGTGCAGAACATGAATGGATGGACAGTTGATGGACAGCAAGGCCGAGGAGTGTTTGGAGTGTTTATTATTTCACTTTGCATCCTGTGGGGCGTTTTTCAATGAGGAATTCAGTTTGTAGATTTTCATGTTGACAGCAGCAGAAGAAAAGACCAAATGCCGTCGGCGGATCCTGAGGGCAATGATTTTATGAAGTGCTCAGAAAATGGAAAAGTGCTCTATTGCAAAGGCAAACGTTGGCTGACAGACCGTGTCTGTGCACAAGCCTGTTGGAAGCTTTTCTTTTTGCACACATCGCACTTGATAACTGTTTTAGCTCTTTCCCACATTCATTTCTGTGGTGTTCTTCTTTTGATTTGGATATATCTTGAATTCAGACTGATTTGGTATGTTTCTTTCTGAAAACCACAAATATCAACCTTTAGGGAAAAAAAGCTGCAAAAATTGTTTTAGAAATGTCAAGTTTCTGCAAAATTGGGTTCTGAATAGAGAATTTATTTTAAGAAATATTAGCTTTCATGGGGATTTACTGTTATTTTTAAAGGCAGCAAAAGCACCCATGTGGTAAACCAGACAATCCAAGAGAACTGGTTTACCTTGGAAAAAAAGAAAAGAACATGATTGTGAACATAATTGTGACCAGGAGTGTCCGTCCATAGTTCTTCCGCACATCATTTCCTGTATTGTATTGGGCAGCTTGACCTTGACAAAAGGTCAGAGTAGTGAGAAACTGGATAGTTGAAAGTGGGAGTGCCTCGTGGGAACAGGACATTTTGTGTAAGAACAATTTGTGCAGAGAACAGATGAAAATGATTAGAGAGCAGCTGAGAGCAGCTCAGTATAAAACTTTTTTTTTCTCCATTTTGGAATATAGGGGCTTTTTAGATTATTCTCCCCTTTGAAAAAGAAAGCTCTTTGAAATGTTCAGTGTGACCTGTTTTGATTTTCCAGCTGACAACAACACACTCATCACACAACATAAAAGGACTTAAAACCAGGATACCCGGGCTAACTTAGAAAACACCCTAGGTTCATATTTGTTTACCATTTTGGACATTACAGATACCAAAGTCTGCAATGTGAGGTTTTCCGGCGCCAATTTGTTAATGGAAATCAAATCACTTTAACGTTATTTTCTTAAGAATGAATACAGATCAATGGTTTGACTGTCGTGTAATTGCTGCATAAACAGGGCTCGTATTTATTTGC